TATTTATCGTTGACAAATCCTGCCGTGCACAAAAACAGACAAAAACCGAATACAGATCAGTGAGATCACGATCATCATGTGAAGCATGCTATTTAACCAACGATAGTACGGAAAGATGCAGAGGGTACCAGATGGGCAATAAGCCCCGGAATGGTACACAGACCCCATCATGAGCCGGGAGTCGGGACTTAATTCGTGCAGAAAAGTGTAGGGGCCAGATCCTAGTTCGTCACACCATTGCTAAGCACACAAGGGCCTCTCACACCACCGTCGAAAGACAAAAAAACTCGACGGCTGTCAGAATTAATTTGACAGCCTCCCTTTAACAGTTTGCCCCCCTTCAGGCACACAGCACTGTAGAGTGGACGCACTTGTGAATGCAAGATGGAAAAAAGACAAACACGCCTGAGGGTATGATGAACATTAGTCCATCCAAACCTCACGCCCACTCACCAAATTTTGAAGAGAAGTCGATGGCACAGCCGAGGGCTGTTGAAAGCATAGGAGTAGCAGGCTGGGTGGGAATTCAACAACTTTCGACAGGAGATGAGGTGTCAAGAAGGATTCTCTGACAAGTTGCAAATTTTCTTCCCCTTTTCAATTCCGGCAGCCTGTGTGGCCAAGTGGAACTATAGAAATTTGCGTTTTCTACCGTGGCGAGGCACTAAGGGTCTCGCTGCACTACTCTAGAAACCGGCCACTTCTTGAGCGCGGAGCCGCTCCACTTACTCTGGACGCCAGGTCTGGAATTCGGGTTCTTGAGCTGTGAGTCTCTACTCACGAAAATGGCGAGAATCCGTCGTCGCCCCAGTACCTCATGAAACACACTCAGTCTCTACTCACGAAAATGGCGAGAATCCGTCGTCGCTCCACTACCTCATGGAACATACTCACGAAAATGTTTTTCTTGAGTTGTCAGAACCTCCTCTGCTGTGGCACTCTTGACGTTTCGAGTGCACCCGCCTGCAGCGGCAGGAATTTCAAGGGAGGCATCCAGGACCTTCGAAAGTTGAGCATTTTTTCGGAGTGCACCTGGAGTCTGGGCGGGGACAACACGTGCTGGCCCTGTTGTGTAGCACTGTAGCTCCCTCAAAGAGCGGTCTGACATCCGAGAGGCCTTCTCGAGTTCAACCTTCTAGAGTAAGTGGAGCAATTTTTTTTTTTTAGTGGTTTCTAGAGTCTGACAGCTCTAGACTCACTCTCAAAAATCTTCGAGAGTCTAGAGTAGTGGAGCAAGACGCTAAGTCCTCACATGCCGAGAGAGTGGGCCTCGCTCTATTACTCTAGAGTCTGACTCCCGAAGTTTCGAGAGTAACACCTCGCTCCACTTATTCTAGACTGGAACTCATGACAACTCTCACCCTTTGAGAGCTGTCAGAAAGCGCTCTGGAAGGGCACTCTTGATTTGTATGGAGTTCACAGCCTCCTGCAATGCTCAGGTTTTCTAGCGTCCTCCCTCCTACACCGCTACGGCCTCTTTTGTCGCGAGTGTTCCTCCTGCCCCGACTATCAGAACGAGCTGGTGCTGTCATCTAGCGCCGTAGAAGGGCTGTCATGTTGCGCTTAGAAATTCGTGAGTGCTTCTGTAGTTCTTGAGTCTGGAGTAAGTGGAGCGATGCTTTTTTTTCAACAGAAGTGGAACTCTAGAAAATCGCGAGTGCTTCTGTAGAGGAACTCTAGAAAATCGCGCTTACAAATTTGCGGGTGCTTCTGTAGCGGAACTATAGAATATCGCGTTTTCGACAGTGGTGTGGTGAGGCCCTCTACTTGGACCCAGATACCTGTGGGCAGTGAAGTTAGTCCTGGCTCTCCCAGTAGGCGCCTTCCGGCATTCATAGTACTGTACTACATTTTAAACGATTGAAGGGGAAAACAAAAAAAAAAAAGTAACACTACTTCGGATTCAAGCACACCAAGATGTATTATTATTATGAATGTGAACCTCCTTTTTACTACCCTTTGAAATGAGCTCCCACCAGAGATCGTGCTGTAGGCTTTTCCACTACACATCCGTAAGTTCTGGCAAGCCGATCCAGCTCAGCATGTCTTTGATCGTACTCCTCCTTCGATGCAAGTTCCTGCCGCCCATGCCACCATGCCAAGGCCTCTCCCAAATGCTTCTCCAACTCAACGGGGAGCTTGTTGGAGGACTGGCGCTCTAGCAACGCTCCCATTAGCAACCCCAGTCTGTCCCCTGAATCTTTTGCAGCCCAAATCCTGGCATCCTCTGCTTTTGCTGCTGGTGTGTACCAATCCGGTGCGTCCATCCCGCCACCCGAAGACTGCACAACATCCGCATCGAGTGTAACAATGGTCTCAACCTTTTTTCCGATCTCCTTGTGCCCTGATATCGCCTCCAGTGTCGCGTGGAGAATCCCATGAGCATCTACTTTAATCTCGACTACTGAACGGCCCCACACACCCTCTATTAAACCATCCATCCTCAGTTCCCCAAGCAACCTGTTATATGCACACAGAGCACGTTCGCCCTCAAACAATCCGACATTCTCAACTGTCAGTTTGGCACGATAGAAACAGCGCAGACTCCTTGCAGTGGCCGGGAGGGGCGAGTTTCTTGGGATAAGGACATGCATTGTGCCCAAAGCTGCGCCCATTCCGATACTCACGGCTGTCACATCGCGTACGGATATGCTTGCCTCTGCGCACTTGTCGCTTCTGGACAGCAAGCCCGCTTGTACTGCAGATCCAAACGCCACAGCCTCATCAGCGTTTACGGACTTGACGGGCGGCCTGCCAAAAAATGCGGTCAGCATCTCTTGCACCTTGGGGATCCTCGTCGATCCACCCGCGAGAACCACGTCAGAGATCTCATCCTTGCTCATCTTGGCATCAAGAAGGGCTTGTTCGACGATTGTCATGCACCTGCCAAAGATGTCTTCGTTGAGTGCCTCGAACTCTGCACGACCCAATTTCACGCTGAGGAGACGGTCACGGTAATCCAAGTCGATGTCTGTCTCCTTCTTATTGGACAGAATGTGCTTAGCGTCCACAACGGCCTGCTTTAGCTTCGGGAGAACCCTTGGATTTCCCAGCAAATCCTCTCCGTCAAGCTGATCCTTCTTGAAACGCTCTGCCACAAGCTGAAGCAGGCGTTCGTCTATGTCTGTGCCACCCAGATGAGAGTCTCCCGCCACCGCATTCACTACGAAGCTGCAGTGCTCATCTGGCCCATCCTTAACAGTGACAATGGACACGTCGAAGGTTCCCCCACCCAGGTCGAACACCAGCAGCTTCTTCCCCACAGGCTTCCTCCCTACCAACTCCTTATGGCCGTACGCCAGCGCCGCTGCGGTCGGTTCGCTCATCAATCGCAACACGTTTAATCCTGCGCTAACCCCGGCGGCCATAGTGGCCTTCCTCTGCCTGTGATCGAAGTACGCAGGTACGGTGATGACTGCATCCGTAATAGGACGGCAATTGGTGTAGTCCTCAGCGATCTCCTTCATCTTCTTCAGCAGCAAGGCCGAAATTTCTTCAGGTCTGAAAGAGCTTTGCCTGCCCCGTGCCCCGGGAACTTTCAGAACAGCTTCGCCACGTGGACCGGACGACACCTGGAAAGGCCATCTCTTGGCATCCTGCTGGACGCTGGCATCGCCGAATGACCTCCCCATCAGCCGCTTGACCTCGTAGATGCACTGCTCGGGATGCTTCATGCCGTCTCTCTTCGCAGCGGTCCCAACCACATGCTCGTCTTCGTCAGTGAAGGCCACGTAGGATGGCGTTATCCTCTCGCCCAGGTCATTTGGAACTATCTCGATGCTGTCAATGTTGCGAAACACTGCAACACAGCAGTAGGACGTGCCCAGATCGATGCCAATGACAGGCTTGTCCTCCATAGCGTCTCTCTCTCGGTCACGCGTCGGTGAGGAATCATGATCACCCACGGTGCGAGTGCGAGAGCGAGAGGTTTGCTGCTTGGAGCGCCCGGCTCGGTCTTTGCATTTTGCTTGGCTATCCTGTCTGGGCGATAGACAGGTAAAGGCAGCTCTGAAACTCCTGTCTCTTATACACATCTAGATGTGTATAAGAGACAGGCGCAGGCCTACGAATCCCCCCAGGCGGCGGACTCGTGCGGACGCGAACGAGTCCCCGAACGAGTCCGCAATCCCGCGGACGTGTCCGTGCGGACGCGCGGATTCGCTGCCACGTGGCGGCCGTTTGGGAGGGGGGTTGGGGATTCCAGAAGCGCCATGGGGCGGCGCATCCCCACCCCCGCCCCCTCAAGAAAAAAAAAAAACGGGAAATAACCAACTTTTGGAAGGGGGGGTGTGGGCGAAATCGAACGACATTGAAAAAAAAAACGCGTTTTTTTTTTTTTTTCATTTTTTTTTTTCATCGATTGATTGATTGATTGATTAATTGATTGGTGGGGGCAGTGTCGCCCCCCCATGTGATAGATAGATTGATTGATTGATTGATTGATTGATTGATTGATTGATATATTTATTTATTTATTTATTTGTTTGTTTATTCGATTTCACTTTTTTTTTATTGATTGATTGATTGATTGATTGATTGATTGATTGATTGATTGATTGATTGATTGATTGATTGGGTGGTGGGGGAGGGGTCGCCCCGCCCCCTCGCACCACACACACACGCACTCACTTTTGCGCGCATTCGCGCCGCGCGAATGTGTGTTTGTGTGTGTGTATGTGTGTGTGTGTGTGTATATATGTGTGTGTGTGTGTGTGTGGTGGCGGGGGGGTGGGGTGACCCCTCCCCCAGCACCCAATCAATCAATCAATCAATCAATCAATCAATCAATCAATCAATCAACCAATCATGATTGATTGATTGATTGATTGATTGATTGATTGATTGATTGATTGATTGATTGAGTGCTTGGGGAGGGGTCGCCCCACCCCCCCGCCACCACACACACACACACACACACACACACATACACACACACACATGCACACACACACACATTCGCGCGGCACATTTGCGCAAAAGTGAGTGAGTGTGTGTGTGTG